GAACTATTCGAAAGTGTGAAATGGCTATTTTTAAATGTCAACTGCACTGAATACTTGATATCGAATACTTTATTTTTTTTTTTATTCGCCATAAAAGATTCTTATTCAGATAAGTTGGGGTATTTTCCGTGAGTTGCTTTGCCTTTTTTTCACACATCCTCATGATGTGTATGTGTTTGAATTTGAAAGAAACAAGAGTGAGCTTGTTTGGAAAAGAGCATTTTTTTTCAGCTGCTGAAAAATCACAGAAGCGACGAAAGAAGACATTCTTTATGCGATTTCAGACACTTGATAATTTCAATCAAATTGTCGGATTTACTTTCAACGAAATGTTTTCTCTCTTTGTGTGTGAGTCTTATGTAGCCTGTTATGCATTGCATCGAGTATATTCTCGGTGGCTACTTATTGAAATTTGACACTCGAAAAGATTCTTATTTGGTGATTACATGGCATAAATGGAAAACAAATAATTTCACATAAAGTGACAGTGAGTACATGCACAATTTCATTCTAAAGAAAACATTTCAAGAAAAATGATGTGTATACATAGGGGGAAAGAGAGAGAGAGAGGTCGAAAATTTATCAATTTCTCGAAAATCATTTTCATTTTCACAGCATCACTGTCGATTGTTCTGTTTTTGTTTGGAGCTGTCAAATATCTGGATGTGTGGTTCAAAAGCAGGAAAAGCAATTTTTCAGATTCATGCTCAATGTTGAAAATGATGTGGGATGCACCAATTCACGCAATCTCCAATGATCCAGAACCATAGAAAAACAATTCGAACTTTTCAAATCAAGCCAATTCCTCTACATTGACTGAAAGAGAATCACACACGAAACGTAAAAATAATTGAACGTAAAGAATGATGAATGCATAGCATACATCAGCATCATGGATATTTTCTCATGATTAAAATTAGAAAATTGATGGAAAATTATGAAAAAAAAAACCCGAAAACAATTGAAAATTGAATATAAATATGAATGGTGCAAAAGATTCGATCGCGCTTCTGTATGCGAGTGTTCATAATTCGGAAATGTTCTTGCCATGTATACTTGTACTGTGCTTGTAATCGCTCGTTCGGTGCGAGCATTGTGCTGCTTTGAACCGACGAAAATATTTAAAAATATAGTGCGTTCCATGTTGTGTGTTGTGCACACATCGCAGGAATATTAATTGAATTTCTTACGCTGCATAAACACAAACCGAGTGCAATAACATTGAAATGCTGCATATTTCAGTGCTCGATGATATGGTTTGGTGCATTGAAGTCAGCTGCAATGTTATATCGATACACTGAACAATCTTTGATGCATAATACATCATTTTGTATCAAAATCTGTACACACATGGCGAATGGCGATATGATTGCATTCGAATTTTATTTGACAAATGGTATGATCATGCATCGTGCTGAAATGCGTGCCATTTCATGGCCACCATGAAAAATCTTTTGAATATTTTTGTTATGAATGTTTAATGTGTAATTGCTGCACTTTAAAGTGGCAACACAGTTTAAATGAATGCTGCACATTCACGATACGGACAAATCGAAATATGATTGAATTGCGCTTAAAATCTTCTCTTTAAAATGAATTGAAACACACTTACCCAATAAAGAACATCAAATAGGCGTATCGCTTACGACTTTTTTTGTAAGATTTTTTTCTTTCTTTCCTGAAATCGTCGAACCATAATTTTTCTCGGAATCCGCTTTCAATCATAACTTCAGTCAGCTGAGAAGAATGAAATAAAAATCCAACAAGATGATCTGGCTCTCACACACATGAGCATACAGTTAATTTGTTATTTTATGTATTTAAACCGCTGTTTAATTGTTCCGAAATTTATGGAATTTCTGGATTTCAAAAGTCAAAGAGTAATCAGTTTATTGAACTCGCCTTTGAATAACGCCGGATTCAATTCATACAGTGCATATGATTTGTGTGTGATTTTGACGAAATGAGTGTGTGTTTTGTTTTCATTTTTCTATTTTATGTTGTTGTTTTTTTGACATATTTTCTCGATTGAATGGCATTGTGTGTGCGTTTGTAAGCACTGTCACTATGTCTATCTTTCTTCTCGATCCTCGTCACACAATTTGTTCGTTTCTCTCGCATTCTTGAGTTTTCCATGCTGATGGAAGGCGCGAGCGCACACACGCACACACCCATTCAGTGTGAACGCGTGCAGTATTTGTATAGTGCGTTTTATTCGGTAATAAAAAAGCATAAATGTTGATGTAAACGGCGAAAATGAAATCAGAAAAGAATATAAAGTTGAAATAACAAATCGTGTACGCACAAAGTGAAATGAATTGAATGCTAATATCAAATGCATGAAACGATATATTCTACGATTGCATATGATAAATGAGTACAAATTTTGTACTAAAAACACTTGAAGCACACACACACACACAATCTCGTGCACTCAATCTTCATTTTCAATTCCGTATCATGAAAGAATTAAAATCACATTTGATTTGCGCGAGCTGCGCTCACACATTCGCTGCATAATCACTTACAAAAATGTACGGAAAATGTCTCGTGTAACTGTTGCAGTTGAAACATGCCTTAAACTGCTTAATTTTAAAATTATGTTTTCTACGTTGCTGTCGCCGCCGTTGCTGTTGTTGCTGCTACTGTTGCTGTCTGTGTGTGATAGTCTCCAATTTCAAATGGTTGTTACGTTCAACACTCATTTATTTTGCACCGTTTGATTGTGTATTTTGTGTTGCCGAAAATGAAAACGAACATGATAAAATGACAGTAGCATGCAAACTGATAAATTTACCACACACACACACAAAAAAACTTATACATGCTGTTGCTCCATCATCAATTTGGCAAATGGTACAAATTTGCGAGCGAAAAACACAAGTTTAGCCAGATTACCAACAATATTAACTACATTTGACTGCACCGCAAGCGTACAAACAGAGACACACTCGTATTTGTCCAGCACCTTAAAAACCTGCTATGCATGCAACATGACTAATTACACTTTGCGACAGACTCCGACTTATTTTCGTTTGGCTTTTCCTGTTGCTGCATTTCCGCCAAACATTCTAATTTTGTAATTGAATCTTTTCACACTTCCAACAAATAAAATCGTTTGGAGCTGCTCATCGAAATTGTGGAGAAAACATGTAATGCTATGTCTATACATTCAACGTTCATTGTCATCGGCAGCCAGTTTTAGGAAGTGAAAAAAGAAGCGAAAAAAAACTTGAAACAGTTTGGTTTATGTGTACGCTCGTTAAGTGGCATTGGCACTCGGAAGAATCCTCGAATTGCTTTATTGATTGAGTTTCGATGTGTCAAATGTTGCATTCTCACACGATTGAAACTCCACACGATCCATCATTATGCGTTCTATTCATAGATATGTACATTCAAGAGATTATGGATGGAACATGTGATTCTCCAAAGACGAATTTGTAAATGTGATTTGTTTTCAATGTTGCGGTCGTGCACGGTATTCATTTTCAATTCGTTTTTTTTATAAACAATTTACTTTGATAAAAGTTCACATTACCGCAAAGAAACCGGAAGCCAAATCTTCCTCTTCGAGTATACAACAAACAGCCCACAAAAACATTTGAATAAAAGCTAATTTTCATTCTCTCTTAACAAACGAAACCAACAAAACAGTACCGACGATGACTCATTCATTGCTGAATGCATATACACAAAAGGCAAACCCAATCTCTTAGTAGGTGCAGTCGATTTGTAGCAATTTTCATTCGAGCCATTGTATGTTGGCAACCGTGAAAGTGATTTTCGTCTCACACAAAATACGCCGTTTGCATCATCTGGAACCAGCATATTCGTACATTTTGTATGCAACTAATAATTGCAAATAAATCGCCTAAAATACATACAACATTTTGAAAAACACGATGGCGACATAAAGGAGACAGTTTAGATCATAAACCACACCATTCAGTGAAACTGTAAATACAAAAACCAGAAGCAAATTTATACGACAGCTGAACCTCGATGAATGACGCAGTACAAACTGCATTTGTCAAACGTACATACGATATTTGCATCTCTCACGAAAGCAACAAATTAAACACAAATAATATAAATTTTAATCGGTTTAATACCCTCAGTTTTGTGATATTGAAAATGTTGTTGGCATACGGTTCAATTGAGTGTCTGTTTTTCTTTTAATTCTCTAATCTCAATTTTTATGATGAAAGCAAAAAGTCATTGATTTTAATGTCAATGGAATTTTGCAAATGTTGCAAAAAAAATCGCATACACACAAATGAAGAAGCGAAGATTTCATTTGCGCACGTTGCATCGAAACGGCAATTGAGTTTAATCGCTGTCATTCTTTCTTCCAGTACAGCTCAGTTGCAACTGATTGACGAGATATATTGAGACGAAAAAAAAAAATAACTATGCCGTCCAATACAAGTGACCTAAAGGGAGGAGAAATAATAACATCAATTGGGTGCACGATCGTGTTGACGATGCAAAGAAAAACCTATGACGAAGAAGAGCCAGAGAAACTGTGTCATCACCAAACATTATCTAATAAACAGTAATTCAAGACAATAAATAGATGCAGCGTTATCATGGTTGAGTTCTATACGATTATCCCGTTGTAAAGAATTCTTGGGCCAACTGATCGCATACTGGGCTGTTTTATGTGACAACAATATGAGGCAAAAAAAAAAACAAACGGTTAATATATCAATGTATTTATAATGCAATGAAACCCTTGACCTCATCCATACTCTCTATCTTTTCACACAATTTTTTTTCCTTTTTTCATCGCGTTGTCATATCACACTTTCCCATTTTCAGTTCGTTTGTTCGAACGTGTTGCCGTCGTCGCTGTTTCGTTTGCCACTACTGATAGTTTCAATATCTCATTTTAAATCGAATAGCGTTTTTGCCCAAACTGAACTTTGCTACTAAATATTTCTAACCGAACCGCTAACCATCTATTTCAATTGTTTTTTTTCTTCTTTCTCTTGCAGATTGATATTGACGGGCGCACGCGCACATGATCTTACTTGCATCAGCCAACTGCACACGGCCATCATATATTCACGATCATAACTTTTTTAAAATAATAATCGGTTTACCGACAGACAGACCGACCGTATGAAATGAAAACGGCTAAAATAAATAAACAAAGCGAGAGCAGAACGAATAAAACGTATCAATAGCACAATCGAAACGACCGTATTAATACAGTTCCATTGAATACGTACGCAACAACGAGTTGTTTTGGTTTTTGTTTTCGGAACGAAGCAACCAACCAACCAGCCAACAAAGTCAACCAGCAAGAGATTGAGAGGAAGAGAGTGGAAACACAAACTCAATCCGAGTGGTTAACACTTGCACACACACACACACAGCACGGTAATAAATGAAAAGCATTATAATCTTTACCCTCGGTATTTTAAAGCATTTACGTTCATTCTGTTTAGTGAGTCAGATCGAGATCGAACGTTGTTTCAACTGCCAAAGTAAACTTGACTTCTCTCACTCGATAGTTGAGCACAAGCAAACGCAAACAAATAGATTTATTCGAAAATCCGATTTTATTAGGGAATATTTTCTTTCATAATTTCACATCTTTTCAGCGTAAGAATAATCGTGGCGTTTGAATTAAATCGTTCGTTCTTTTTCATTTTCAAATATAATTGCGCGCAACGCGCATATACTTTGTTCTTACGACGTTCGTTCTCGGCGGATTTTGGCGCGTGTGCCATACACATTCAAATGTTTCACTCACTCTGCGTATGTGTGTAAGAGAGTGTATAAGTGTGTATGAGTCGATGAGCGGTGAATGACTGAGTCGGCGAAAGCGTAAGTTATTTCGATGCATTCAGTGTTTGATTAAAACAATAACGAAGCGAACATATTTTTGTGGAGCTAAGAATTTTGAGCTCGCGCCTCCTTATTTTAAGTACACAACATGACTCAATGAGTGCTACAGTCATTTACGCGATATTCGTTGTTGGTTTTGGTGAATTCAAAGTGTGCTGCCGGCAGCCTGTCAACCAGCCGCAAAATAAAGAGTGATATCTATAGTGTGGAAAGAAATTGAATTGTTGACAACAATAAAAGAGAAAGAAAACACGGCACACAGTAAACGCCATTTGTGGTGACATTATCACAAAAAATAAATGCCACAAACCGCAAACCGTGGAATCTGTTTTCATCGTTGTAATTTTATTGATAAAAATATAGTATATACAATCGCTAAAGTGCGGTTCATTCCATTTCAGAATAAAAATAAAACGGCCGAAGCAAGCAGACACCTCTAGATTGGATTCCGTCTTTTTCTTCCATCCCGGTGATGCAAGCGTGAAATGAATTTTCCACTAAAAAATAAATCTAGTGTGAAAAATATTGCTGAATAAGTGTAGAAAACAGCGAAATAAACAAACGAATAAAACTTAAAATAGAAACGAACAAATTGTGTTGATAACGAAAAGTAATAGCAAAGTGTATGTGTCACTAAAAATATGCAAGAAATGCAATCATCGAATTGTCAACGACGATATGGTATGGCCCGTAAGTGGGTCGTCAGTGTGATTCTTATGCTGACAACCATCGTCTTCGCCATAAATGCTGAACAACACAATATCGATTCGAGCATCGTGTCTCGTGCTGATGTGCAGGTAAGCAAAATTATGCTCATATTTTTATTGTAATTTTCAATTTTTTTTTTTTTTCAAATGCCCGACTATAATATCTGTGATTATAATTGATTTCTGTGCAATAATTTCGAGAATTTGTTTCGATTTTTGATTCAAAAATTCCACACACCAAAAAATTCATTGAAAGTGGCACAATTTTCGTGATGTCGATATGGTTTACGGTACATTTGACTTTACAGAAATGACTATATTCTTTGCTCAATCGACAATTGAAATGCCTCGCATTCATTCTATGTATGACAGTATGAATTTTTGAATAGAATTTTCATTCAATTACAAAACTAACAAACTGATAAAACTAGAAAATCTGACCGATCGTATTTAATATTGACTGACGCAATGGCAGATGCTAAAATTCTGTGTATGAAAAAGCAGATGAACTATAAATAGTTTTATTTGATTTTCGAATCGAAACATCTCCCATCTCGAATGTATTAAAAGATAGACATGTGTATGTGTACAGTGATGAGACTCGGCAGCATTGAATTGAATTGTATAAAATTTCATTTGTTTCATTGTCGGGGTGCGCATAAGGTTCTCTCTCACTCATAAATGGTTATCGTTTCTCACCTGTGCGTCTATTTCTCGTTAGCATTGTGTATTCAATGTTACGGCATCGGGCGCTTCATGATTCCTTTTTTCGTTCTGTAATCATTTTGGTTTCCAGCCCAAATTAAATGTGTGTTTTGCTTTGTCGTTTTCTTGCTCCTTTCTTTTATGTCACTCCTGTGAGTGTGTTTTGTCGGCATTTCTTCATTTCTGTTTCTCATTCACTTCCATTTACCTTATTTCACACAAAATTCAAAATAACGACCAACAAATGGTGTCGTATATTTTCCAGTGTTTTTTTTTTATTGTTTTAAATTCTCTGATTGTATTGTCGATGAATGATTGGTTTCACGTAACATTTTGGAAAATTGTTTCGTAAAAACATTATTATTTATTTTATTGACGGTAGCTCATTCAGTTTGTCAGAATGAAAATGTAATTATTATGATTGGTGGTATTGGTGCAGTGCCGTTGGCATTATTGAGTTGCAATTTAAAGAAGGATGTGATCCTTACTCTTGCAATCTGTCGCATTCCGAGCAACATCAATAAGAATAACAAATTTATTTTGTATATGCGACAGTTGTATAGTCGCCAATTACCCAAATACACCAACACTTTCAATTTCACGAGGTAAATCAATGAAATTGATTGAACGAATAAAATGTAAATGACTTCATTTGTGGAAATTGCTGGGTTGGAATAATGCGTTCGATATTGATGTTTAGCTGAATACGTATTACGTTCAATTTGGCGAACGAAAGAGAAATGCAAAAGCAAGCGACCGATCAGAATGTGAATTGCATTGCACATATAAATGGGCAAAACTGAAAAACGAAGGAAAAGGCATGAAAATTGTAATAAAAACTGGAATTTCATAAAACACTTCACAAATATAATGGGATTATATGTGTTATATGTATATTGGACATGTGCCGAAAAATATACAAGATTTTTGATGGTTGAATGCATGCCGCTGTCTGTTGTTATTGTTGGTGTTGCTTTTGCTTTAGCTACCGCTGCTGATTGCCGGGTCATAGGACCATTTGGTAAATGTGCGTAGTATGGTTAGAATGAGCACGAGCTCATTTGAACATATGGAATGGTGAGCATTCAACAATCAATGGAATCATCAAGCATTAACAATGCACAACTACACGTTTCATCCATTTGCATGCTGTTAAATTGTTTGACAATATCGGTCGTTTGTTTGACGATGTTGCACACTTATACATGTACACCAATTTTTCTTCTGCTTCCATTTTTCAAGTGACATCACAATGGTAATAAAACAGTCCGAAAATTGCATTTCTAAACACACACACACACACACATTCTATTTGTTCTCGATCAAAGTTTGTGTTGATATGTGTCGCATATGCGGCGTATTAAAATGAATAATTTATGTTAGCATATTGTAAAATGTTGAATTGCTCGAAGAAAAGAGTGATGGGGTACAGCTACGGAAACAATAACAAAAACAGCACACACACACACATCGTTGTCAAAAAGTGTTGTGTGATTAAAGCATTTTCCGTTTCACACATACTATACGCCCACAATGTACACACTCAAGCAATTCATTTTGGTTATGTTCAGAGTTAAAATATGCGATTCGTGTTTAATTGTTCATCCAACGAATTTGTACACTCATAAAGGCAAATTAATGATCCTTTGCAACTCTATTGCGAATTTTGTGTTTGATCGTTGTTTTTCGTATTTTCATTTCGCCAAAATACAAACATTCAATTGCAGATTGGGTTCATTTTGTTTTATTGCAAGCAGCAGTAGCAACAAAAATGCGATTAAAGTGTATGGGTTCATTTTAAAGAAGCGTGTAAATTGTAGAACGAATCATGTATAATGAGCATACAAAAATATCGAGGTCTTTGGAGAATTATCGAAACGGGCGAGAGAAAGACAGAGAGAGATCAAAAGGGAAGAAATAGAGAGAGATTTTGTGTGTGTGTGTGTGTTGGCCCATAAAACGTGGATTTTTAACAAATAAATTCATTTTATTGCAGGAATTTTTTTTGAACACACAGTGGCATAAGCAAATGGCAGCAACAAAAGCAGCTGTCACGATTCATTTGCCATTCACTCGCTCTAGCATAGATTCACTTTCTCGTTCTTTTGTATATTTTCATTTTCTTCTTTTCCATGTTTGTTTATATGCAAACTTAAAATTCAATTCAACCAAATTCTCCGATTCGAAAAAAATAATGAATAGAAAATATCAAATGCATATGGACACTTTAAGCAGCTGATTTTCCGTGGCTCAATTTCGTTCTCATACAATTTGCTATCGTTCATATGTGTCAGTTTTTATATCTTTCAATATCTGAATTTAAAATGGTAATCTTTTTACAACCAGAAGCAACCATCCACGAAGAAAAACCCATATACAAAGCATAATTCCCGAAAAAAAAGACACACACACAACACTCCCAAAATGCGATGCAATGAATTTCTTATTCACATTGTTTGGCTGTTATTTTAATTTAAATGGTATTTTTATTAGTCATATAAATTAAAAGGCGTACATTTGTGTTGCATTCCATATTTTGAAGAACCACTCGAAAATCTATATGTTTTAGCGATTGCCATAACGATTGAACTTATTTTAATGTGCATATTAAATTAAGAAATTACCCGAAATCATAATCGTTATTCTCCAGTCAATACTCCAGAACTGTCACTCAAAACGCAACACAGATAAAAGCGAAAAAGAAAGAACTACAACAGAATAACTTAATAAAATGAAAATAAATCACACGACTTTTGTTTTCGAACGAAAGTTCAAATGAAATGGGCATTTTGTCATTGATACGTATACAGACAAAACATTTATTTCTGTTGTTGTTGCTCATTCATGCCCGATATTTTGTCGATTGGAAATGTGTGAGAGCGAGGCGCAATGAACGCGCATATGATCACATAAACAACAACAACAAAATAATACAATATCAAAAATAACAAATGCTAAAATGAGGGAAAAACACGAATTGATAGTGAAATGCGTTGAATGCATGTTCATTTGGGGGACAAATTCAACTCAATTCGCTACATTTATTCGGTATTTCGAATTAAAAAACGACCATTAAATGACCAAACGGTAACTTGCTCATTACAAATGCAATTTAAATTTTGGCATCTGTTCTATATGTCGGATAGAAAAACGTGTTTTATGAAAGAAAAAAACATATCAAACATTCAAAATGTGCTGTTCATTGATGAAGCAAATGGTTGTGCGACAGAAATTGAAAATGTGGCGAGAAGACTGAAGCGATAGAATATTTAAAAAAATGGCAGCGCAAATAGAATAAGCTGTCGATTAATTTTAATTGACCACGAAACATGATCCATTGAGAACATATGATCATCATACATATAACCTTTCAAGCATAACAATGCCTTAATTAGCATTGTCGTTTGTTTGATGCATTAAGTGATGAGTAATACTGATAGGAAAATGAACAATAGCCTCCAACATCGTCATCATCGTTGTCTTACATCAAAATATCACATAACATTTCGGAATAATTTATGATGTGTTTGTTTGTTGATAATTTCAGGCTGAACTCCCTGGACCAATGACATACACTGACGATGCACAACGACACTCCCAGAAATTAGCTACTTACAAAAAGGTATTATTATTGAACATCAAACGAAATTGCTCTATAATTTTCTTTAAAATGCATTAAACAATTTGTGAATTTATGATATACGATTGCGTCAACATTTTAATTCATTTTCTTGTTTTTTTTTTTTTTTTTTTTTTTATCAAATAGGAGTTGTTAGGATGTCCGAATACATCTAAGAAAGTCATATTATCATTGATTCTGAGAACAAATAGCTGGGATGACATTATTGATAACAAACGTGATCGTGCACTAAGTAAATTGTCGAAATTGTTCGGCGTTCCAAAGGTTTGTTATTTTGTTTTATGTGCATTCATTTTATGCTCGGTTTAAATCCTTTTCTATTCGCATCAATATTATTGAAGCGACATAAAATGAATATATCCTCTATACGGTGTGTGTTTGTGTGCTTTTTTATGTTCGCGTTAGGATTTGATGGTCACAAGCAATATCATTCAACGAGACATCTCGGAAATGGAAAAGAATTCAATTGAAAAAGGCAAACATGTACCGTCAGAGCGTAAACGTTTTGGTAAACTTGAATTTGTGGTGAGTATATATATATATATACATATATCGCGTGCCAAAATCAAACCATTATTATTACCATCAATGTAACGTTCATGTAATTGAATTGAACATGGTCGTTGTTGATATTGTCGGGGTTGTTTTTTTTCTCATCAATTTCGGTTTTTTTTTCTCTTTCTCTGTTTTCTACGGTTGCTGTATGTGTTCGCATGTTTGCTGCTACTACTTTTGGAAATGTGAAAAAGATTGGTTGCAGCGATTACTTTACAAATAGTAACACAATTGCCAAACGTATTTCGCGTCAAATGGAAGAGAATTTAATTAGCGAAACGTCGGGATTGAATTTCGATTGGTGGTGCATTTGGGAAAAACAACCAAATTATCGGTACGTAAACCAAATGAAAATCAAAATGAATGAATTTTGTTCAAAAAAAAATATACCACATGCCATTGAATTGGGTAGAGAATTGATTCATTGATATTTTTAATTTTTTAAATTTTATTAAATTTATTCATTATCGTTTTATTTAAATTCACTTAGAATGCCGCGAAGCAAACGAGACGCTGCCGCCGGAGAAGAAGTCGACGAGGAAGCCGATGAAGAAGATTACTATTATGATGACGATAATGAGTAAGTTTCTGGGGGATGATATCAAACATGTGCACGATCGAAATTTAAGGAGTAGGGAAATAAAAAAATCAAAGAAATCCGGAGTCATTTTTCTCTCAAAGACCCTAGCTAAGTTTTTCATTCCACCAAAATTGATTATGGGGGGGGGGGGAGGTGAATTTGAGCCAAAAAACCCCAGCAAATCGAAAGATTTTTTTTCTTTCGTCAAAATTGTTTAATGTTTACGACACATTTAGATCCATATTTTTTCAATCAATTTTTGTTTATTTTAATCTCATTTCAATTTTTTTCCAATAGATCAACCGACGCACCGGTCGAACCAAAAAAAATCGAACAAGATGTGATTGAACATGACACCGATGAACATCCACATAGACATCATCACGGCGACGAAACGGTATGTATAGACGGTTTGCTGTAATCACTTTAGTTGCGGTTTACTTTTAAAACCGTTTGTTTTTTTTTTGTTTCGTGGTTTGGAATGTTAGTTAGCATTGGAAAGAAAAATTTGAAAGAAATTCCGAGGCGAAAATCAATCAAACGATGGTGATGTTATGAGAAATTCTCTCGATTTTGAATTTTTTGTTGTTTAGAAATTTAATTTTTGAATGAGATTTAGAATATGATTTATTGACCTTATTGATAGCTATTAACCCCGATTTTTGTTTTACACTCCACGTCTCGAATGGTTTCTATTTTTCTTCAAACGTTTCGTTTGTTCAAATATTGAAAGTATAATCAACTTTGAGTGATTTGAGGCGTTTTTTTTTAGTTCTTTGTTCGTTAAATTAAAAAACCAAACTCACATGTGATTGATGCATTTTTATTTATATTGTTCAGTGCTTATTGTTTAATTGAAAACAATCGAAATAGATATACATTCAACATTAGTTATAGTAAATCTGCATACGATATATGGTTAATGAATATAAATTACAGCTTTAAGAAATGGTTCAGAGGTTTACTATTATTTCAAAGTAGCCATTTTGATACAATGATAATGATTACATGTAACACATTTAATAAACCCCCTTAAATGCAAATTATCCCAACGTAGCAACCAAATATGATATTCTATTGATCAGATAATGTCCATTACTGTCTCTTATTCCCTTGATAGATATTTTATACGCACTCAAACATACACATAAACTGTCATTATGCGTTGCTATTACATTCTTACCCTCTATTAGACATCTTCCCAGCTTTCTAACTAAGATCCCATAATTCGTTCGCATTATTGTCATATTGGTGAATTTTATTTTTTTATTTTTTTGTCTATTTTCTTCTCATTCTCCATCTAATACCGGTAGTGTTATGTCTTTCATAAGTTCACTCTTTTTCCCATTACTAAACAATTTTCATAACATTTTGCTTCAGCATATAAATGCCAAGCAAGCGAATATGTCATAAATTTCATCGCTGACTTGGACGCAAACACACACACACACACACACAGAAACAAAATGAGAAATACAGTATTATTATCTGATGATTTACTGTAATATAGAAAGGATAAAACAAACTTGAACAAGACAAACAAACAAAACAAAAAATTATGCGCAAAAATAAAATCCATCATTTTTCTACTATAATCTTTCTGTTATATTTTCATCAAATTATCATTGCTATAGCTTTCGAAAAAAGATCGCAACGAAATGTTAAAAAATGAAAAATTAACCGCTTCTGACTCGACCGAAGAGTCCAATATAAAATCGACTAATGATCGTAACATCATCGATTTGGAGATGCAACAACAACAACAAGAACAGAAACAGCAACAACACACAATGGCCAAACCAATCGAAACGCATACCCTTGCCAGTGAAGAATCATCGATCCAAGAAGAGGTTACACAATTGAAATCGGTCATTACAAAAACCATTGAAAATAACAATGAAAATGTAAAAGAATTGAAAGAATTAGAAAAAATCGCAAACGAACGTAAAGAAGCGACGGAAAGGGTCATTTTAACGGATTCATTTAATGGAAACAATGATTTTGAGCCAATTGTCGAAACATTCTCCGAAGACGATGCCATTGTCATAAAACCAAAACAAACGGCCGACGAACGGCCGGCCGAGGCGCAGGAAAGCGATTACGTGATCGAAGATAATATGAATAAAAATGGAAAATTGGCCACGATTGACATTGACAATGACAAACATAAGACCGATTCAATGGTTTTGGCCAAAGCAAACGAACGCATTTTCACATCGAACGATTTCGACGATAGCAATATTAATAACAATAATAATAATAATCATAATAATAAGGGATTCGATGATGTTACGATAAGTTTAGATACATCTAAGGTAAGACTCGTAAAATCCATCCCAAAACACCTATCTATCTTTCATTTTATGCGAAAGCAATCAGCATCACAATTTCCGTATTTCATTTCATTTCTTTCGTTTCAAAATTTCTTTCGTTTCATAATTTAGCACAAAATTATTTCCTCTTTATTCCGTCGCACCAAATGATTTTCAAAAAAATAAATAAGGGGGTTCATGATTTCTTATTTGCACAAACATTTTGGTTTATGGCTTTTTTTGCATGTGTTTCTTTTTGCGATGGGTCTTTTCAATTCAATTAACCAACAAATAAATGGTGAATGATTCTAACCATTGTATTTATGTTCATTTTTACATGTCTTTTTATCATTATGAAAAATCATTTTATTTAATGTAAATTCAATGTTTATTCATGCTTTACTAACCAAAACTCTTTCAATGTTTCCATTTTGTATTTTTCTTTATATTTTGAATTGTTGCGCCTACCGTACACGTACACAAAAACCACATCACAAACCAATTTCGATATTCCACAAAATAAAAATTCATGCAAAAATCAAACGAAACAATTGTCAAAATGTGCACATATCAATTTAACTAACTCATGTGGATAATGTACACAATACATCAAATAGACATCATTGGATGTAACACAGTCATCATCACCATCATTACCATCTACTTCACCATTGCTCACATCAACATCAACCACATCACAAGAATCACCATCCACATTGACGACACCGAAACTAAATGCAATCGAAACAACTGAATCACAATCAACAACGTTGTCGACAACCATTGCCCAATCGGTAAATCTGCCCGTTTCGATAACGAACAAAATTGAGTCGGCCATGCCAATCACCAATGTGCCAATCTCTAGTTCGGAATCGATCCAAACCGAGTCGACACTTCGCACTACTGAATTGACAACACCAAAAGTAACATTACCAGCAAAGGTGATAACAACAACAATCTGTCTTTTTCTCTTCATTTACAAAATCAAAAGAAATACAACCAGTTTTTTTTTTAGAATTTTGTTGAAGTTTACTCAAGTTTTACCTTAAGATGGGGATAATTTAATCGACACACTCTTTTTTTTCAATTTAAAATCTTCTTTTTCTCGATATTAAAAGAGAATGTATTATTTTTATATAATTTATGTACACATGTAAATAGTAATCGTTATTATTTAGACATTGGGAAAAAAACAACAAAATGTGAGAAAAAACAGAGAAATAATCCAATTTTTTTTATCTTTGCATGCACCAAAATTTCAGAACAATGGTGGTAATTTATTAACACCATCGACTGTCCAACAACCAAGCAATGCTGGTGTAGATCAAGTAGATACCACCGAATCAAACGATGATGATGATGATTACGATGATGATAATGATTATGATGAGCAAGAAGGGCAACAAGGCAATGTACCATTAACACCAACAACAAATACAACGTCACCGGTAAGCAGGCAAATTCATCTTTCATGCACACATTTTTCATGCACACATTCCAATTGAATCTCAGGAAACAACAACACCCGAACCGACGACAACAGCACAATTAGTTACAACGTCATCGACCACCACATTGGCAACGACTACAACGACCGAAGCATATGTTGAACCCGAAAATGTTAACAATGTACCAGTGATCAAAGCACGATTAGCAAAACTAGCTGTCACCGCTGGAAAGCCATTCAATCATATTGTGCCATTGGACACATTCTACGATACTGAAGATGGTACAAATTTGAAACTTGAACTATTAGACAAATATGAAAAACCATTGGAAGCAAAATCATGGATTCAATTTAATGCTGAAACAAGAAACATTTATGGATTGTAAGTATTCACTTTCATAATTTGCTAACTAATATGAAAATAATGCGTGTGTCGTTGGTGATTCTTGTTTAACAGGCCACTTGAAGATGCTGTATCCAAATGGCAATTTAAATTACGTGCCACGGACAGTGCAAATGAGAGTGTATTTGAATCACTGGATATTTCGGTGCAACAGCACAAATCATATCGCAGCGTAAACCACGAAATTATTATTGCTGTCAATTTATTGAATGAATTTGCAAGCAATGTTGATTGGGAAATGCGTTTGATTAAAGGAATTGTCGATATTTTGGGTGATACACAAAGCGTTTTAGTTCGTGACATTCGGTATGGTATTCTAGATCCAAATGCTGCCACATTCATCTATACAAATGAATCATTGCCGAAAGATATTTGCCCAGAAACACAATTAAATGAAATCATTGAAAAATTAACACCGAACGCATTGAACAATGCTGTATCACCGCAAATGTCAATTAAATCAATTGAAGGTAAAACAATTGGCACATGCTCAAAACCAGAAACGGTCAAACCAACCGCCCCAAAACCAACACAACATGTTATGAAAAATTATCCACCGATTGCACGAAATCAAGTCGATCGTGTCAATGCAACCATAAATCAATTGCTTGTATTCAAAGTACCGTCGGTAAGTGCCATCGAACATTCAATTTTATTTTATTTTCACACACATTCACAATCCAATTGGAATTATCTATTCTCATATTAGGATACATTCTACGATCCAGAAGATGGCACCGACTTAAAATTGAGCTTGCTAACCTATGAACGCAGTGAATTGGATCCAAAATATTGGCTACAATTCGATTCGAAGAATAAAGAATTTTTCGGTGTACCGAAATTTGGCGATGCTGGCCAACGTGAATATGTTTTGGTAGCCGAAGATCGTGAAGGATTACAAGCAACCGATGCTCTGGTTGTTGTTGTCAGTCAACCATCACATCGTGAATATAGTACGGCATTTGAATTTACATTGAATATGCAATACGATGAATTCAATAATTCGGCAGCACAGCGTCGTTTCATCGAGCGCATTGCACAAATTTACAACGATCCAACTACCTCGAACATTCAAATTCGTTCAATTCGAAAGATTCATCAAACTGGTGCAACGCATGTTACATTTTTTAATACCACATTGCATCGGCCGCATAATGTGTGTCCAAATGAGGAAATTGATACGTTAAAATATATTTTGGTGCATAAAGACAATTCGATTCGACAGCGTGTCAAAGACATAATCGGAAATGAATTTGATCTCGTTAAAATAAATTTAGCACCAACCGGACCATGTCTTCCAACCGATTCCAATAAAATTCTTACCGCAAATATTCCAATCAAACCCGACGACACCGATCCACTTAGTTTCAAAGACGATCATCTACTTACATTCGTTCTTCCAGCTGTTATAATATTTGCTATGCTCTTCTTAACATGTATCATTGCTTGTGTTTTACATCGACGTCGAATGACCGGCAAAATGGAGCTCGGTAAGTATGGTAATATCGGCTTTTTCAATTCTAACTCACATTTGCTTTGCTTCATTTGATTTTTTGTCGTCGATCGACGAGTAACGATTTTTTTTCTTCTTGTTTTTGAATTTTGGTAGCTGGTGATGAAGAAGAGCGCAGGGCGTTCCGATCAAAGGGTATTCCAGTTATTTTCCAAGATGAATTGGATGAAAAACCAGAAATTGGGAATAAATCACCAATCATTTTGAAAGATGAGAAACCACCACTATTACCTCCATCATACAATAGCACAAATCCAGATGGTAAGCTTTCAATGAATCACCGCAGATTTTTATTTATTTATTAATATTTTTGTACTTAAAAAAAAATTCAAATAAACAGAAGAATTAGAAGACTATATTCCGCCACCAGCTGTTGCAATGAGCGGCCGAGAATCGCGCGGAAAATCACCAGTGACGCCATCATATAGAAAACCGCCACCATATGTGTCGCCTTAAACAAAACGTCATTCTACATTTAATACTCACAACAACAAAAAACACACACACAGGACTAACTTTTATAAGATAAATAAATTTAGGGTTTAATCGACACAATATATATACATACTTACTCTACTGTCAAGAGAAAACAAAGAGCATACAATAATTGACCACCACATTTACATGCAGCTCACACATCTTCGTATTATCGATAATAAATATTAAATGAGAATTGTTTCGTCAAAGGCGAGAAATAGTCGGCGCGCAGCTAATTTCGGCAACTCTTAAGCAAATAAGAACTGACATAATTCAGTGAATATGTCAAATAATAGAAAGAGACAGAGAGAGAGAGAGAGAGAGAGAGAGGGAGAGGGAAAGAGGAGTGAAAATGGAGAATTTTTTGTCGCCAATATGATTTTTAAATGGCCAGTGTTATACAATTTGTATATCGAGTTGAAGAAATATTGTATTTTTTTGTGTGTGTAACAAATTCATTAAATCAACGTCTCATATAAAATAACGAATGAGTATCATAGAAAAAATTAAGTCTTTTCACTTTTTAGACCATGTGAACCATCGAATTTTATTGCAACTAAACAAAAAAAACAACAACATACACATAACAATCATAACAATTGTTAACGCTAGATTAGATTGAAAGAAGATTTTAATTTGATTTCAACCAAACATTTTTTTCGATCAAATTTTGCATTTATTTCGAAATTTGACAAAAAAAAAAAAATGTGTACGTCGACACGTATATTTTAATTTTTCACTGAAATAAATTCTAAACAAAAAGAAAATTAACTGATTTAAAATCGCTAATTAAGGAAAAATTTATCAAAAAAAAACAAACAAACAAAAAATCACAAATTTTAGGCAAAAAATTAATCATTGAATTGGTAAATCAAAATAAACAAAAACTCTGTTAAATAATAATTAAAATAAATGTGCTTATGTTTGTAATTGGTCATTTTTGTCTCTTCTTCTTCATTTTGATTTGATAAAACGAAAGCACTAGGATTAACAAATAAATGATGACATTTTTAGAAAGCACATGCACACATTTCGAATAAAATGTGCTATTTTGCCTGTATACTAATCAAAAAAAAAAAAAACGTAGAAATTGCATACAAAATTTAGAATCGAATAAACAAAAACGTATCAAATGCTCATTAAATTTCTCGTATTACTTTCCGTAAAAAAATGAGGAGCTTAGAGCTTAGGGTTTCCAATTCTACCCAAATAATGTCTTTTGTTTCATAATTCACACAATCCAGAATCCACTGCCTCGGTAATCAGATATATACATATAACACTTAACGAACATTTATTTGGAAAATATAAAAATAGAAGATGATGATGATGCGAGTAATCTAATAATTATAATAATAACATAATCAAAAAAGTAAATTGAATTTTGTTGGAAAAATGACCAAGGATTATCTTAAATGCCGAACAGAAAGTCAATGGACAATGAACACTATTTTAGATATTAATTATGCAATCCTCTTAATCGTTGAATTCTTGTAACACACACACACACGCAAGCAATTCCAACAATAATAATTCAAGTTAATTGATAGTAGCATATTGAATGAAATTCAAACCAATTTTCTGCCAAATCAAGACGACCAAAACATAAAGTCATAAACACAATAATAACATTTTAAAATGAGTTAAATTTCTGAAAAAGTTTCCAGTTCAACGACGTCAAATAAAGTGAATATTGTGGGAAAAAAGTACAAAAATCTATTTCATTTTATAATCATTCGAACGACACTGATACTTTAGACTGGCAATCTATAACTGAACTAAAACACATAAATTCAACTATTTTTTTAGTCGCTTCTGTCGAACAGCTTTGAAACAGAACAAACACAATCTCTTCACACACACACACATACTCTTATGCACGCAATAATAAAACGGAATTTTTGGGAATGATAATATATTTTTTCGATTTTATATTTCGCAACAAAAAAAAAAAATATGACGAAAACACCCAGAAATCGAAAAGACATTTTTCTGTATCTTTTTTATATCTTGAATGGATTGATATTATATGTAAAGTGTTTGTGTCGAAGGTAAACAATGAAAATCATACTTCTACATAATCTAACTCCGTCGTTTGCAAATTAATATCGATGCACAAATTTTATGTAAAATTGTACATTATCTTCGGGTTTTCATTATTTTCAAAACAGAAACCGAGATTAATTTGACTGTTCCGTGTGTCACAGCAACTACTATTGTAGATTTATTATTATTATCTTGATTTCAAGTAGCATTCATTTTATGTTTCCCCACTTCTGATTTGCACATTTAGATTGTAAGGTTGTACGGTGTACGCAATGCGTGAAAAAAATTCACATACTGAATGCAAACATGAGAACAATACAATATAAATGTTAAGCATTTAAGCTCTCAAATGAGCTCACTATGCTCTGAAAAAATAACTTATAGATTTATAAATCATTAAAACAAAAACCCATTTAAATGAAAAACTAAGCAAAAAATACAATACATGAATAAATACGATTTATAGACATTTTTATCAAATTGACTTCATGTTTGCGACTTTATTTAAAAATAAACAAGAGAATTATATGAAATTCAACTAAAATGCGAAATGGAATACGTGTAGAATTTAATAAAAATAAACCAATAATTATGATATATTTCCTATAATATTTTAAGGAAAATAAACATAAGTTACCAATAAATTGTGTTTTTTTACTATTATTATTTTCGAGATTATTTTGCAAACTCAGAGCAGACAACTCAGATGGAGAAGAGAAAAAGAAAACTCGAGGAAAAGGTAAATGCATTTGATTATAGGTTTTCCATTTTATTACCGAAATAAAATTATTTTAACTCTTTCATTTCGAAAAAATTATATCCTCATTCCTCATTAAAATATTGTTTGTAAACATAAAGCAGTAAGTTTGAGAAAGCTTTACTGTCAATATTCACATGTCTTCAAATGGTTCGGCATTTTTGGTAAGAATACTAAATTTCGAGCAAAAGAAATTATCTCGTGTGGAAGAGTCCTTAGTGGAAAATCGCTATGCGATCGCTATGGTATCCCTATGAGTCAATTTTGGGACATTTATTAAATTGTCTATGACGTGGCACAGTAAATAATGGCAAAATCATAAAAAATGTAGGATACAATCAACGAAACAACAAGTTAAACGAAATGAAAAAACACCAAATTAACTTATAAATCCATCGCATGTTCTTGGGGAGAAAAAGATAAATTTAAACCATTAACCGTTCAGATGGGCACGGAAGGTCGATTTTTTGTGAAAGGATCAAAGAAAATATAGCAACGCTTTGCACTCGGTCAACCTGGACAATACTTACACCTTTTCAATTTTCTTTTTAAAAAAAGAAGAAAGTAAATCGTTCAAACTGATAATTCTGAAGCTATGGATTGACATAAATTATGACTCAGAAATATCAACTTGTCAATTATACGACGAATTATGAATACTACGACGGTTTTTTTAATGTCCGTCCGTGTCTGTTGACACCTTTACTAACCACTAAAATATTTAACCGTGAAAAAATAATTCCAAATTAATTTAGAATCTGTGTACTTAAAAGCATTTAAAATATTTGTTTTTTCAAAAAAAATATAATATATGAATGTATTGGGTGTATCGATTAATTTCCGGAATTTTTTTGGTGAAAAGATACATTTATTTAAAAAAACCGTACAATATTTTAACCAATGTATTGCCCATCGTTAGCTATGACTTCCGCCCATCTTTTCGGTAGCTTATCGATTCCGCGTCGAAAGAATTCCTCATCTTTCGACGATATCCATTCATCGATCCATTTTCGCACTCCTTCAGCATTTCGAAACGATATCTCGGACAAGCCCGTTTGCATCGATCGAAACAAGTGGTAGTCTGAAGGAGCAAGGTCTGGAGAGTACGGGGGGTGATCAAGCAGATCCCAACCGAACTCCTCTATCTTTTGTTTGACGATGTGTGCTCGATTTGGCCTAGCATTATCATCGTGAAACAAAACTTTGTGGTGCTTTCTCGCTACCAACGGCCGTTTTTCGTTCAATGCACGTGCCAATTTGTTCAGTTGTTGTCGATAGAAATCAGCTGTAACTGTTTCACCTTGTTTTATCAGCTCATGATACACGATTCCTTCCTGATCCCACCAGATGCACAACATAACCTTCTGGCAATGAATATCTCGTTTTGGCTGTGAAGATCCTGGTTGGCCTGGATCAACATACGCTCCTTTACGTTTTAAGTTATCGTAATAGACCCACTTTTCATCGCCAGTGACAATACGATTCAAAAAGCTATGTTTTTTGTGCTCGGCAAGATGTTTTTGGCATGCTGTGATTCGTGCTCTCAATTGATTTTCATTGAGTTGATGTGGCACCCATTTCCCTAGCTTTCGAATCTTTCCCATTGCACGCAAACGTTCACAAATGGTTGATTGAGTGACATTTAACTCTAATGCAAGCTCTTTTTGTGTTCGGGCTGAGTTTTCATCGAATAATGCTTGCAAATCTTCATCTTCAAACTTTTTTGGCTGACCTGGGCGATCTTTGTCTCGAACATCAAAATCACCATTTTCAAATCGTTGAAACCACACGTAACATTGGGTTTTTGCGATAGCATGTTTGCCATACAATTTCACAAGTAAACCATGACTTTCAGCTGCAGTTTTCTTTGCAAAAAAATAGCTTAACAAAACTTCCCGCAAATGCTGTTTCTTTCTGCAATTTTCAAAATTTTCCATCGTTGAAAAAAAATATGATGCACACAAACAAATGAAACACTTTTGACTGATTTTGACAGTATTTGAATAGGCCTTTCAAATGACGTATATGTCATTAATCTACTACAACGCACAAGCAAGTGGTGACATCTGTTGTCAGATTCCGGAAATTAATCGATACACCCAATATCTTATAGCAAAAGTAGTAGGGACACAAACTGATGCTTAGTAAATAAATCATCGATCGTTTTTTTAAAAATATTTTCTTTGAAAACGAAAAAAATGTTTGTATTCATTATTCAATCAAAATTAATTCCGAAGCGAATTTTCTAGAAAACTATAACGGTCTTCGCTCCTACAGATTATGTGTGTCTGTGAGCGCCAGTCACAATTTATTGTCAGAACTCATACATATAAACGTCAATATGAAATGTCAAATGTTTCGTTTATTGTCTATCACAGTGTTGTTTACCGACCATGTGCAATTGTCTGTCACGCTATTTGAAACACATTTCAGTTGTGCCAGCTACTCAAAATATCACCTCATTTATCATTGGATATGATTAAAAATCACATTTATTTTAACAATTAGATAAATCAACCAATTAAGAATTTAAAGGTAAGCAATCTGTTGTTGTAAAATATCTCAGCATCTGTCAGACGAACAATTCCAACGTGACATCAAGTGTAAGAGTTTTGAATAACAAAATTGATGTCTTTTTAGTTTTAAAAAATGGCAAAGAATCAACATAAGAAGCCACAGAAACACGCAGCCGTCACGACTGACATGAAGATGAAAAACAAAATAGCCAAAAAATTGAAAAATAAGTTAAAATCGGCTATTTTCAACCAACAAAATCCATCAACTGAGTCTTTAATTCAAGAAGCCAAAACACAGAAAGCAAAAGTAAAATTGAACATCCCAGTAACATCGTCGGGCATCGATTTTAAGCCGAAAGATAGTCCAAGTGTTAATGAACCAAATAAAAACAAAAAGAAACCCAAACATTTCAAAAAGAATGAGAAAAATGGTAAAGAACATTGCATACAGAATGGTGGTCAAGGGTTTAACACCAAAATCAATGATCATGGTCTTAGCATCAAAAATAAAACAAAGCCAGTTACAACCGATCAATCAACGTCGATTCATACGAAGAAGAATGCATCGGTTGAAATGAATGGCTACGAAAGTAAGAAGAAGAAGAAGCAAAAAAAGAAATTTAACCAAGCTGCTACAGCGGGTCCATCCACGTCGAAGCCATCAAATGATCAAGATTCATCATGTAAGCGTAAAGTTGATGGCAGCAAGGTAAACAAAGCTGTTGGAAAGAAGCGCTTGAAAACGGTGGGTGGTTTTGTTGAAACAAATGCCAACGATGAAGAAGAAACCAAAATAGTTTCGGAAAAATTAAAGAAAAAACAGAAGAAATTGACGTCAAAATTGAATAAAGAAGAAGATGCACCAAAAATTAAAGTTCATAATGTTGATGCAAGTAAAAATAAGAACAGCGATTCAGACAGCGAAGCCGATAGTTACATTGATAAATTTTTCGGTGACGGCAACAATGATTTCGATGAAAATCACATTTATTCTTTGGACGAAATCGAGGCCAAAAACGAAAATAATTTTTTATCAAAGGGTTCTGGTGATGAATCAACACTAGCGCCTGACGATTCATCACCAGTCGGTAAGAAAAACAAGAAAAAACAAAAACATCTATCGAAAGAATCAATGAGCTCAGAAAACAATAAGTTGGTTAGTTACAAGAAAAATCATGCCGACGAAAGTGAATATGATTTCGATGAATACGCGTGGCTAGGAGGTGACGAAGAGGAAATTTACACAGATAGTGATTATGATGACAGTGACAGTATGTATGGATCAGATTCGGAAATTTCGTTGGGATCAGAAGTAATCGACACAGATGATACCTATGAATGTGAATCGACTGACGTCGAATCAATGGTTGAATATGAAGATGATATGTCTTACGATGAGTACGAAGATCATACATCAGACTCGGAATATGATTACAGTGAAAATGAAAGCGACACCAGCAGTGGTTGTACATATGATGACTTTAGAAACAGCCGATATGATGAGCATAGTTCAAATGACGATCATGAGTATATGGGTGAGTTTTCCTTTTTAATTTTATTTTTACTCAAGAACATTTTATTCTTAAAATCTCATTTTTGCTTCATCGGGCCGATTCAATTTTAACTTTTCTTACGCCGATTCAATTTTAACTTTTCTTTACCCATCGAAACGTCAAAAATTCCTACTTAAAAAAAGAACCAAATTTATTCAACACAAAGACACAACAACCACCTTAATCATATGTTTTTAACACTTTATTTGATAAATTTTAAATTTTCGAACTACATTGAAATTGATTGCGTTGTTATGCACTTCAATTGTATAGTAATCATACATCAATGTTTAAATGGTTAGGATTTAAATCAATAATGCTTGTTGTTGTTGTTGTTTTTGCCGTTGATTTGATGTTATTGTTGTTAATTTAATTCTAATCCATGTGCTGCATTGAATAACAATTTGGCTGAAGAATGCTATTTCTTTTCCTGTTGTTTGATTAAATTGAAGGCTGCTTCTAGTGGTGTGCTTTTTCTTCTTTGCAAGCGTCTGGCTGAAGCTCTGGCTCATGTGGCCAGAATGTTGGCTTATTGAGTGGATCCAATGCCAATTCTGGATGGGCATCACGGAAATCTTCCATTGTCATTTGAGCGTATGGCAATAATCCCTTGATACGATCAGTTTCGGCTTTATAGTTGACAATACGTGCCTCGGATTCTTTTTTGAACGTTGCAATTTCAGATATCATTTCACCACGCAATTTATCAACCTCAGCTGACAAAGTATCAGCTGGGTATGGAACTTTCAATGATTCATATGCCTTTTGGAATGATTCAACCAAGGCAGCATTTGGGATTTTACTTTTGTATGCAGCCCAATCGATTTTTGGTGATTGTTCTGGATTAGCGAGAACAGCACGTAGATATTTGTCACTGCGTGACTTGAATGCTAAAAAGCTGCTCTTTTGATGTGTTGGTACACGCTCAGAAAGTGCGGACCAATTAATGTTCGATTGGGAGATACGTTTTGCGGCCATTGCTTCGAATTATCCTATTTTTTTCACAAAAATTCCAAAAACAATTAATATTACTTACGTAATTAAAATGCGAAGAGATAGAGAGAAAAATGGATGAAAAAAAAAATGTCACACTTACTTACAACCTCGCAGTCAATATGACATAGACTTCTATTCTATAGATAGGTTAGGTTATGTAATCGATTTTCTTTTTCTTTTTCACTGTTGTTGCTGTCAACACAGTGACAAAGTGTCAAATGATAGCGCCATTTTGAAAGGAATAACACCAATCGAAAATGAAAATACATTCGCTCAGTCTGTATTATCGATCATATTTGGAATATTGTTTTTCAGTTGAATTTCACACATTTTCGAAATTTTTTACGGATTTTTTTTTTATCTTTTCAGATGATGCCTATGATGATGTATGTATCGCCCAAGGAACAGCTATAACTCATAAAATAATCGATAAACGCATAAAATTATTCGAAAATGACACCGAGTCTCGTATCATTGAATTGCCAAAAAGTGATTCAGACGATGATAGTTCTGTGGAATTGATACCAATCAATGTGAATAAAACAAAGTTTAAAAAATTCGAGCACGAAAAAAGAATGGCAAAGGAAGCAGAACGCAACAAACAACTCATGGCAGAAGAGCAAAAACGTTTTGCATATGAAAAAAGTATTGAAGATTATTATAATATGGACAATTTGAATAAGTGTGCATCATTAAATGACGTTAACACATCGATCAATGCGGTATCGATTATCAAGTGTCCAAAGAATTTAGACCAATCATCATTGGATTGGCTGGAAGATTGCGATGTTGCCAAACCAATGGATGAAGAGTTTGAATTTCAACAGCCAAAAACCAATTTGAAAAATGTGGTCGTGGTTTCCATTCCCGATCCGTTCGTCACACAATCACCGGCGAAACAAACTAGAGCGAAGCAACAAACACCAAGTGTTAAAAATCAAGAAGCAAAGTCACACGTGAGTCCAAAGATAAATAGTTCCGCAGATTTCTGCATTGAAGATGAAGACAATTCAATGTCAACTGAATCGTTGAATTCATCGCAATTTTTCAATTCAGTAAATTCACGTCACGTCTTATTATTGTTGCGAAAAACATTGCATTTCCATGGAAGTTTACACGTAAAATTAATTGCTGGCAAAGCAATTGCATTCGGCTATGAACTTCAGCCAAACAAAACGGTTACGGTACATTCGCCGCGTGGTCACGGTTTGATTTGTTTGATTCCAAAGTCGAGCGGAGCTGAGAATTTAAAATTGTTGGACGCATTGAAAGGTGATTTTTATTTACAAGACATAAACTATCTAAAAGAAGCGTTCAATAGCAACAACGATGCAATCCTATTGTTAGAACGTGATCAAACGAATAAAGGTGTGAATATGATCGAACGGTATATGCGCGAAACCGTATTCCCAAATATAAATGCGTTTAATAACGAAAGCCCATTCTACAGCAGTGAGTTTGTATTGCATTGCAAATTTTTGAATGAACCCGAAAATGGATTGGTACTGAATGACGAATGGTTAACATTGAATTTGAAAAATAGTTCAAAACTGATAACGATCGGTGGCAAAGGTGTCGGAAAATCAACATTCGTTCGATATTTGATCAATTCACATTTCGATAAATTCAAAAAGTTTTTATTCATCGACCTGGACATTGGACAACCGGAACTATTTGTGCCACAAACGTTGAGCGCAACAATTGTAACCGAACCATTTTTAGGACCGGGCTACTTACGAAATGTAAAACCAACCAAATCAGTGCTATTTGGTGACATTAATGTATTGCCTGATCCATTCAAATATTGGCGTTGTGTCACAGAGATATTCAAATTTTGTGCGTCAAACAAAGAATTTGCAAAAATGCCATGGATCATCAATACAATGGGCTATAGTCGAGGTTTTGGCACTGAACTTATTGCATGCATTTCAAAACTATTCAAACCAACCGATTTAGTTCAAATTCAAAGTCGATCAACAATGGAGAATTTTGATCAAATCATGATGGATGACATTGTGAACAATTTCAAATTTAACGTTTTTAAAAGTGAACTGGATGAAATTACCGGAAAATGCGTGTATCGTACACACATTTTTAATGCGGTTCGCGATAAAAGCAACCATAAACATGTTGATATGAATGCAAAAGACATTAGATATACAATGATATTGGCTAAACTGGGCAATTGTTTGAAGTCCAACTCGGATTGGCTTACCAGCGTTAAACCATTTGAGTAAGTTTTCAAACCGATTATTTTGATTCATGTACAACTGTTCTAAATTTGTTTTTGTTTTTTGTTTGTTCTTTTCAGAGCATCGCTGAATGATTTGGATATTCTTGTAACCAGCGGCGTTGAAATCAATCCCGCTGACTATTTGGATCTATTGAATGGCAATCTAGTCTATTTATGTGAGAAACATTCGGAAAGTGGAAACGATATCGTTGACTGTCATGGCATAGGTAAGTTTTCAATCAGAATTCGTTCGATTCATTTTGAAATTTTAAAGGTCTGTCTGATTTCATTCTCCTTCAGGTATTGTTCGAAGTGTTGACGCTTCAACAAATAAGGTGTATCTAATATCAACAATTCCATTGGACGAACTGCGAATGGTGAATGTGCTAGCAATTGGTGCCATACCGTTGCCATCAGCCGTTTTTCTTAATCAACATAGCCAAATTCGTGGTGCCGTACCATATGTTTACAATTCGGATAAATTTGTCGGATCAAAACAAGTGGCACAGCATATTTTTCGAGCTGAAAGCAAAAGCAGCAATAAACCCATTCAACTTATCGAAGATTAAATTCCATTTTAAATGCAAAACACCTAAGTTCCTTTCAGACATTGTACATTTCGTTTGAAACAACAAATAAACGTAAATTCAATATTCTTTTGTTCTAAAAAAAAAAACACTTGACCTTGTCTATTTTTTTCAATGTAATTCGTTGTTATCGACAACGACCGATCTTTCAAACCGATTTTTTTTCTACGCTGCCAACTCGACCAATACACAACACTACGAATTTGATTTGATTTATTTTTTATTTTTCAATGTTGGCATCTACTGATCGAGAAAGACATTTGTGATTGCACTATTCCGGCATTGCAAAAAAATATACTACGAACACCAAATCAACTTCAATGTATTTGTGTTTGTCATGAGTGTTGACTGTGAATCTCTGTGTCCAATTTAATTAAGTCATCAATTTTTCTAAGAAAACAAAACATACATTTTTTTTATTTTCGAAATTTTGCATTTAAATTTAACGAAATTTGTAGTTGCATTAAGTTTTCCAAACGAAAAAAAATAATAATAGTTAACCAAAAAGTATTGTGTATAGTGGTTTTTTTTTTTATTATACGGGGATCAAAAAAAGCGAGACAGCAATAAAAGAAGGAATTCACACACACAAAAAAAAAGAAAAAAATCGACGGCAAAGTAATTTTTATTTCTGAACGGCAATTTTTTTTTATTTATCTCGTTTATTTAACCATTTTGTTTGTTTATCATAACAAACATAAGAATAACAAAAAAAAAAGTATTGAGAGTAAAACAAAAAAAGGAAAACGTATGCGCTTTGTCTGCGCCCATTTTAGAACCAATAAATTGAAATAAGCAAAAAATAATACAAAAGCAAGGTATTCGATTAGCATACTAACTGTGAATTTCAAGCAAAAAATTAGAGAGAAAACGAGATCATAACATAAAATATATGAAGTAATTTTTTATTGCATGTGGTGAAGGCTTTCTTGCAAGTAATGTGGTGTTTTTCATGCGACTTTGCTTCAACTAATACAGGTATATTTGGGTTTCGCTTAAATTAAAACAAAACAAAAAACCAAATAGACAAATTAAAAACCCCTTTGCCATTTTATTATTGCGATACATTGATCATTCATACGTGCGTGGTGGTGATTCATTCAGTTTTTCCTGCAATCGGCTTTTAATTTTATGCGATTTTTGATAGCTGGCCACCCATAAACACACACATAAAAAACTAGAAAAACAACATTAGTCATTGCATAGAATTACAATGATACGCAAAACTGTTTGATATATATATTTATCAACGTTGAAATTGAACGCGAATCAAAGAGTAAATTGTTCCAAGTGTATTTAATTAAAACGAAAGAAAAGTGCTTGACTTCAACATCACTCAATTGTCGGTTGCCAGTTGTTTCAAAGATGCATTCATAGATTTTGGTAGAAGTTTGTTGTTGTTGTTATTATTATTATTATTTTGTATATGAACTTGTGTCTCGCTACTTAACTCTACTCTGTCGCTTACTATACATGTCACTTCTAATAACAATGGTGCTGTGATCAATCTCAATACATATATAATATATACATCTTACATCTATTGGTGCCCGTAATGATTCGGATTTTATTTTGACCAAAACATGAATCTAACCAAATTTTAATTCTTTTTAGTTTAACCATTCGAATTACATAATCCAAATTATTAACAACGATTTAGTTTCATGTGTTTATTATGTATATTATCCATTTGAGATATTATATGGGCGATGACCATTGTTGCGATGCGATCTCTTAAATTCTATAAACAATATATTTTTCATCGAAATTGTTTGCGATGCGTTTTTTTTCTCTCTCGTTGCAAATCATGATCATATTTTAATAGATTGCCTAGAAATGGACTTTGCATTTGAATTGTTCATGTAGTATTAAAAGGCGACAAATAGTGAGTTGTTTACATCGACAACGACGACAACAACGAAAAAAAAGAACTATATTATAAATAAACGAAACGATACAAATCAGGATATTCAACAGTTTAAAAACAATAAATTCACTGTATTCGATATTTTGACAGTTGCTTCACCTGTCAACTCAAAATTATTTTCTGTTTGACTTTTTTAACGTTAAAATTCCACAGACATTCGCGCCGAAAGCGATACGTTTATATGAATCGGTTTTCTTCTCTATCTCTTTCTTCGTAGTTAGGAACGTAGTTTCTACAGCTGTCAAACAAAGGGTTGGACATAACATGCTTGAATTTTTGAATTCGGCTTAACGTTAGAATTCCGTCACACCAATATTATGAATACGTTGCATATATTTTTATTTACGTAAAAAAAGAACCATTAAATTTGATTTATTTTTGTCTAAATGTTTTAATTAAAACGAAAAAAAAAACAGCAAAATAAATTCAAATAATATAAAAAAAGAAATGTACGAAACAGTATCACGGCCACTGTCTAACCCTGCATCTCTCTCATATATATATATTCTTTTTGGTTGGATTGGAAAAAGCCGTACGTTTCCAAAATGGCGACAAGGCGTTGTTCTTACACAAATACACACTGAATCAGAAAGTGCGAGAGGGCGCACAAGTAGCGTTTTTTTATTATAAATTTTTTTTAGTAGCAGTGAAAATATCAAAATCACGAAACAATAATTAATTAAACCCGGACAAATTAAGTTACAATCGGAATTCCGTAGAATTATTGCAGACAAAAAGAACAAAACCGATCGTCTGTTGTGTGTATACTCATTTTAATTTTAGTTACAAGACCACAGCTTAAAACTTCATTTATATATAATAATTTTTATAAAAAAGGTATATCTAAGAAAGAATTTTTGTGTGATTGTGTGATAAATGATACACTTTGAGCTATGGAGAAAAGAGAAAAAGAAATGAACCAACAAAAAAAAAATGTGATACGAAGCAATTGACTTCTTACGAATTCTTGTGACAAGTTTTGTTGTTATAAAACTTACATACATTGAATTTATTACGAACTCAGATTTTCGAATCTATCTACTTTCGATAAATTTATTCTTGTATGCGCCCCGTTGACGAGGCGATTTGGTGCTAAACCGAACCAATTTTGAATGTAAAAAGTCCAGAAAAATCGAATCAAAATGTATTAAACCAACATTGCGTATTTTTCAAAAGCCATAGCAAAAAAAAATACTGAACGAATAGAAGAGAAAAAAATCGCATTAGCAAAGCAATAAAAAAAAGTGTAGATGATCAGGAATGTGTGAAGCTGAATCAACTAGTTGACATCGTCATTCGTTTGTCCAATCAAAAAGTCTACATAGAGTTCAAAATCAATTTCTGAGTTCAAAATTACAATGAAGCCCACATTTGTGTGTTATCGGTAGAGAAAATTTGTAGCGATTCCGTTTATTTTTGTTTTTTTTTTTCTTGTTCGTGGTGGAAAATTTCTCTCTCAGAAAATCAACCACATAGAAAATTCATCTGTTGCACACTTTTTTTTTAAATATATATACAAAGTTTTTTCTATTATTATAATTATTTTCGGTTCAAAGTGTTGATTCAATTAAGAGCAACTAAAAACGAATTAAAACTCTCGATATTGATTGTGTATAAAAAAAAAATGTTTGAAAGAATCTGTATATATTTATGAAAAGCCGCTCTAGTGAAGAATGGGACTGTTTGTTGTTGTTGTTTTTTTTTCTCTTTTCTTTTGTTACAATTTTCTTTTTTTTTTTTTTTTTTTTTTTTTGAAAAATTTAGAACCAATGGCGGCCATCCGCAAAAAATTAGTTATCGTGGGAGACGGTGCCTGTGGTAAAACTTGCCTATTAATCGTGTTTAGCAAAGATCAATTCCCAGAAGTGTATGTACCAACAGTATTTGAGAATTATGTGGCCGATATTGAAGTCGATGGAAAGACGGTAAGTCGCATTATTTGTAACTCTTAATACCATGCCCATTTCATTTCGTTTATTTGTCATATCCGTGAGTGTGCGATATTATTTTATAAACTTGCCAATTTGTATATTGTTTGCGAAAGACTTATTGTGAGAGACGGATTTGCGTTTTCGTCACGTTTTTTTTCCGCTTCTTTTGCAAGAAAGAAATTGTCATTCGGTAGAATTGGAAACGGCATGAAATGTGTTCCAAGTGTGTGTGTGTGTGCGGTTTTTTCTCTCTTCCTGCCGCTGTAGACGTTGCATTGCATTGTATGCTTGTGTTTGTATGTGATCCAATTATTCCTTAATGACAAGAAGAAATTGAAGTCTCATCAACTGAATTTTGCAGAAGCAATGAAAAAGAAACGCACTCAACAAAATTGACAGCGATATTCCAAGTAACCAGAGAATCATTGATGAAATCATCAGTCATTCGTTGACGTTATCGTACCTTTTTTTTCTTTTCGGTTATGACACCAACGAAATAAGAAGTGTTTTTTTTGCTTCTTTCAAACATCAAAGTCAGTATATGGCCATACGCTTGAATACAGACATGAACTTATCATATATTTCATATGTTATTTCAGTAGCAGAGTTTCCATTACGGCCAACGGCGCTGTATATTAAATTGTTGTTGTTGTCGTTGTTGTCATCATCATCGTCGCACTATACACATATGTATAATGTCGGCGTATACATATGCGTATAAGTTTATTTTAAAAGAGCAAATCGTATAGAAAATTGAGATAAAAAAAACAACGTAAGAGCGTATAAAAGAACCTACATTACACAGTACACACACACACATACATTGAGTCAAGCCCATGGATTTGATATTATTATTTCTATGGAGTAGAAAGAGAGAATAAACGAATGGGTGAATAAAGTGACATTAATACTAGATTATATTAGACTAGCGTTTTTCCGAGAACTCATGCAAAAAAACAAAGCAAAAACCCATTTTTAATTATGATCTCAAACAGCAACGAAAAAAATATTCTCGAAGGAACTTTACACCCTTAACTGAGCAGTTGTCAGTATTGACGCTTGCTTTACCAATGTGGTCAACATAGTGACCATTGCTGCTCTCTCTCTCTCTTTCTTTCTGCGTTTGTTCGTTTGCTATATAGCTATTGTTGGTCTGGTTTCGATGCAGCCGTTTGCGTGTGCGTGTGTGCAAATTACTAAATTGATATTTATTGATTATAATAATTGCAGATTAAACGCCGATTTCATGTGTTATTCACTCTTATTTACGCACTCAATCAATTATTATTCTCAATTTACTTACATGTTAGCGCACACACACGCATACACATATTTAATAACCGGTCGCACAATATGACCCATTATTGTGTGTGCGTGTCTGATTCGAATGCACCGAAGAAAGGAGTCGAAAAGAAGAAATGAAATAATAAAATAAAACGAAATGTAACCGCGACTCGGTTGATTCATTTGACATTGTAATGAACAACAATGATTTTCGGTGTGTCTTTGCGCATGGACGAATCGGCATCGATATTTTGAGTGCAGTGTAATGCTCATGCGATATTATCTCTTATTAATGTCACTACCTCGGTTCCCACATTAGCAGTGTTTTCGTGTACAAGAGAGTTGTTTCTATTTCTTGGAAATTGATTTGCTCGTATGCAAATTGGGTGCAAAAATACGCAACATATGAACACCGCATATTTTCACCCATTTAACATAGACGCCGAATAAATTATAATGATTGAAGTCGTTCAACGCGTTCGAGCGTGCGTGAGCGCGAGCGCTAGCGCATACCCGCTCACTTTTTTATTCGCTCATTGGCTCATAATGCACAAAGTCATTCGGTTCATATGACATTGTTTGATGTTTATAGTGGCATGTGTACCGATTCAAATATATGTATGCATTCTCTTTGATACATTATGTGAAAGAAAATCGAGAAACAGAGAGAGAGAGAGAGAAACGGCAGCATTCTTTTGCAGCCCGAGAAATTAGATCATTCTGACTGGACATTAGTCACGTTATATATAACGTTGCATTCCCCTGGCCACATCGATTAAAACGAGATTATTGATATACATTGATTGTTGTGTACATTGAATGTAAAGCGCACAATATGTTGGATATCGATGTCCTATTGTGGTCACACATTCATGAGTGCATAGTAAAAATTATGATATTAACTTAAAAATGAATGAGCATGAAAGAAAGATGGTGAGAAAGAATTAAAATAAACCAATATTCATTCTTTTTGAATGTGCATAGATGCAAAACGTGCTCATACATGTATTTCCATCTCTTTTTGTTCGATCGCATAAAATTCTTTCTTATCTCACCTCGTTATTCTTGTTTAAATGGTTTATTGCATTTTTAACGATGTCTCGGTCGATGGATTTGCTCATTTTCCTTACTTTTCAATTTGATTTTTTCCATTCTTTCGTTATCATTATGCTCTCACAATGTTCGATGAAAAGAATGAAAAAAAAAATCGGAGTTATTCTCGATTACCCATTTTCTGGACTCATTATGTTCCATTTTTATGGCAAATTTTCCATCCAACACACAATTTTGCGCTATTTCATGTCCGTCTCTTACTTTCGTATCGATATGATGATTTGTTCATTTGGTATGTGCAGTATATGAGTCATACTTTTTGAATATTTGTTTGTGTAACAAAAACGAATGAAAAATCAATCAATTTTTATATTATTTAATTAGAATTGAATGTTTTCTTCTTTTTTTTTTCGTTCTCAATTTAATGTGATTTGCTTTTGTTTATAATTTAGGTGGAACTGGCCCTGTGGGATACCGCTGGTCAAGAAGACTACGACAGGCTTCGACCTCTCAGTTATCCAGATACAAATGTCATTCTAATGTGCTTTTCTGTCGATTCACCGGATTCGTTAGAAAATATACCAGAGAAATGGACACCCGAAGTAAGCATACCAAAACCACTTAAATCATTCAACTTAAATTCGTTCGTTAAATTTTACTCATTTATTTTTATCACTTTTCGCAAATAGGTTAAACATTTCTGCCCAAATGTTCCAATCATTTTAGTCGGTAACAAGAAAGATCTTCGAAGTGATCCAAACACAATTAAGGTGAACAATGCAATTTTGTAATTTAAAATCATTTTGATAGTATGATATTAATTCGTTTTGTTTTGTCTCTATGTTTTTGTTTATTTCTTCGAAATGTTTTCATATTCGGTCGATTGCATTTGGTTAGGAATTGGCAAAAATGAAGCAAGAACCAGTCAAGCCAGAGGAAGGTCGCGCCATGGCTGAAAAAATTAATGCATTCGCATATTTAGAGTGTTCGGCAAAATCGAAAGAGGGTGTTCGTGAAGTATTCGAAACAGCAACACGGGCTGCATTACAAGTTAAAAAGAAGAAGAAGGCACGATGTAATTTACTCTAAAAGAGTTGCACATGGAAAACATATACTTTTTTTTGTCTTTTTTTTTTGAAATTAACACATACAACAAGATTTTATAAAATAACATTAAAAAAAGAGAAAAAAAAAAACAAGAACAACAACGTATTTACAACAAAATCAGATCCAACAACAACAACAAAAAACAAAGGACTTGTGTTATGTGTCAATATATGAGCGACAAAATGGTTAAAAGGGAATTTTAAAACAGAAATAGAAGAAAAATTGATGAAAAAGATAAAAACGATGAGGAAGAGTATAGAAAACAAATTTGTCAACAACATCAACTGGCAACAATAACACTGAGAGTGTAGTGCTAAATAGAGTAAATTATATTGTCGTGGAATAGAAGAAGAAAAAAAAACGAAGTATATAAATATTTAGTGAAGAGCTAAGAGAACAACAACAATGGATTTGACACAAGCAAACCAATAACAAGCAAAACAAACAAACGTAACAACTGAGAATATTCATTGAAACAACAACTTTTCCGCGCAACAAGTCATTCATCAAGCGCTAAACAATCCTCCGTCGTATACATCTGAGAATTAAATTTAATATATATACAATCTTCAAATGTGTTGCATTCACACTAGCCAGAAAACCATTCATTTGCATGCTTAAAATGAACCATGCTCGTAGTTCATTAAAGAAAACAACAACAAAAAAGAGAAACATACACTTTTTTTTCGCGATTTATCGTTTTCTTCATTTTCTTTATGTTATTATATATATTTTTTTTTTTCAATTGATTGATTTTGACCGACATTCACACATTCAATAAATGTGTCAAAAGAATTAAAACAAAAGAAATTTTTTTTAAAGAAAGAAGATAATTAAATAATAATGATTTAAAAAATAAAAACAAATTTAAATGTCATTTTGATTTGGTCATTTTATTTGGCCACGAATGTGTCAAAATCGAAGTGTGATGTAGGTGCCTCTGCTAATACTGCAACTACTGCAGCTACAACAAATTCTTCATTTTTAACCTTTTTTTCCGAATGAAAATCAACTTTTATCACCATCATTTTCAACAAAGAAAGAGAGAAAAAAAAACAAAAACAACAACAACAAAATGAAATAATAACTATAATTAATTAATTAAACAAAAAATTGAAGAACAACAACAAAACAAACAAACAAAAAATGAAAAAAATTTAATCTATTTTAGAATACATTATGATAGTTTTTTTTCTTCTTTATCTTAACGTTTAATTAATCAATTGATAAACACGAAAACCAACAAAAAAAAATTACAAAAAAAATTCTACTAAGGATGGACAAAAGGAAAAAAATCAAATTATTATTCAAATTATCGAGAGAAAAAAAGAGAGAGAGAGAACGATGAGAGGAAAGGGTTTATTTTAAGTGAGAATTAATTCTAAACAGTAATAATTTTGTACACACAAAACCAATTTTTTGTGAGACAACAGAATCTTTCTAGGAATTTTCAACGCAAAAGAATAAACAATATTACTTGGAAAACAAGTGAAACTACATAAACAAAACAAAATAGATAGACAAAAAAAAACTATATACGAATAAGTAAAATCAAATGGAATTGCAGTTTCTTTCTTTTTTTTTGTTTTTATATAACAACAACACAATACTATCATCAACTTTCACCAGCTGAAGGAAAATCACACGTATTGATGATTGAATTTATACATAGAAAGTGGAGGAGATAGATTGAGTGGGCGACAGTGGCCGCTAAAATATTCCGGTAGTGGAACAGGTTTTAGGGATAAATTACATACACAGAATATTTGAATTACACATTCTTTTTTGTCATTTGCAAAAAACAAACGAATTTCACACGCAAACTTTCAAACAAACCCGAATAGAACACACAAAAATAAACATAGCATTAAATTTTACAACAGGTTTTTTTCTCTATTCCTTTTTTCATTCGACCAAACAACTAATTCAAAACCGAAACAACAAAATTGTAACTAGACAAGATGAAGAAGAAAAGAAAACATTACTTTATGCATATATTTTAAAGATAAAAAGAAGAAAAAAAACTTTTTTATTAAGCATGAAATCAGTTGTATTTTTATTATAAATAATAAAGTCGTATTTATTATGTCAGTCCGAATTGATTTTTTTTTTTATTATATCGTTTCTTTTTCGGTCAATTTGATTTTAAAAAAATAACACAACCAAACTGAATACGAAATTGTTTATGTTAATTTTGTTCGATCATAAGATATATTCATCAAACAATATCCTGCATATGCATTAAATGAAATAACAGGAATAATTAGGTGAATGAAACACAAGTTTTTTTTTTAGACAAAAGAAAGAAAAAAGATAAATGGGAACGGGTATTTTATGTTGTTTATTTTATTTTCATTGCCAAGTGCTGGCAAATATAGCACATACCCACAAAGAGAGAGATAGATATCGATTACATCCTGTTATTTTATTCGATATGCAAAGTGTTTTGCGAGATAATTTTTGTTACATTTTATTGAGTGCTATAAAAAGAAAAACTAATCAAACATTATGTTACTCAATCAAGCATTTGAGCATGTTAACTAAATCTAGTATTAAAAAGTAACATTCATTTGGGACTTTGAGTCAAAGAACTGCGGCGGCAGGGCATCATATAAGAGATTCGTAGAAAAATGAGCATAGATTTCAAAAATTCCACGATTCTCGTTGAAAATCATTCAAACACATTTTGTCATCAATTGGTATTGAAAAATAGCTGTAATAATACTATGTATCGATTTTTAACAAACAATAGGAGCTAATTGAAGTGCTCTTTTTTAAAAAGAAAATATGAAATTGTATAAAAAAAATCAAAATACAAACACACACACACACACAAATACGTTATCGTTTAACTCTAAGGAATCGACACATTTTCACCGGAGAGAAATGCAAAAAAGGAGAAAATATGGTTTCAGTGAGTAAGATTTTTTTTCCTTTTTCTTTTCTGTTTTCAAATTTTATAATGATTTCAATGCCGTGAGATTAAAAGAAATGTGTTGGAAAACTTCCTCACTGAGTGGTTAATTTGCACAGACGAAAGACGTATTTTGAGCATTAACGAACATGTGCTACGTTAACTCATTCTAATAAGTTGCTTCACTTGATTTAACTTCATTACAATTTATAGAGGAAAAAAACAACAGGAACATAGAAAATACTTAAAGGAATTGACCGAATGAAATGATTTATTTTGTGTGTTTTTTTTTGTACCATTTGCAGAAAAAATAATTAAAAATTAAAAACAAATATGAATACTGTGGAAATGGAATAGGAATTGTAAAACGGTGAATGGAAAGAAACAAAACAATTAAACAAAAACAAACTATATATTTTAAATTAAATAAAAAAAAGTGCCTGGTTTGCGTAGCTGAATTGAAATAAATGTGCACATACATGCCCTCAAACACATGCATGAACCAATTGGAATGAAACAAACTTTTGTTTTTGTTTTTCGTATGAAACTACCATGATTTGTTTATTTGTCAAAAACCAGTTTGATTTCGAATGTATATTGTACGTAATCAGATTCAATGTGAGTAACGTTTAATCACGCAATTGCTCACACAACATTTTCACGATCGATCGTTACGATTCAATTTGATTTATAGTTGCATTTTTTTTTTTTACAAACACGTTACATCTCAATACGTTTGAAATGCCAAAGAAAGAGACAAAAAGGCAAAACGATCGTCTTGAATTTTTGTTTAAATAATTATGCATTCATCAATTCTGCGTTGAAATTCAAATATTTTTCTTTTCAAATTGATTTGTTCATCATTGTGGTTCCATACGTTGGATTTTAATAGAAATTGTGCACTACAGAAAATAGATAAAACAATCCCATTCGTAATTCCTATACTACGATTATTTTGTTTATACATGTTTTTTTTTCTTCGTCTTTTAAATACCCAAATATGCATATGATTTTTTGTGCTCGCTTACTTTTTTTGTTTAACTCTCAGCAATTTATTAATTCAATGTTAGATACAAAACAAATTGAGTCTTCTATTACAAACCGACATGTGAACAGTCATTAAGGCATAGAATGATTAAACTAAAATAACTTACTAATCGAAACTGTACTGAATTGCATATATAGTATATATGAGCATTAAGCAAAACGCAAGCGATTTTTTACTAGAAAATCACATAGCACATAAACATAACAACAACAAAAATAGAAAAAAAATACAAACTAAACTTTTTTTTACAAAATAAAATGCAATACAACTATTTCAGTAACGATTTTCTAATATAATCATTAAGCAAAATATAGCTTTTTAATTTGTTCTTTATCAGTTTAATGATCCCATCCTCACCCACCGTTCGAACATGCAAAATAAAAAAACACGGTCCTCCTTTGTTGAACCACTTTTGTAAGAGTGATTCAACGAGACGAAAGAAATAAAAAAGAAAATACACATTTATTTGCATTATGCCCTGAATTTATTTTGTAATTTTAAGATGTTTTTTCTAATGAAATTATAATATTGATACTGAAGAAATTCATATAATAAAAATGATGAAACAGAAAAAAAAATTGTAAAAAAAGCAATTGATTTGATGGTATTTCTTTTCTTCTTTTTTATTGATTTCATTGTGATTATTTGTATTGTTCAGAATAAAAGCGATCTCTATTGACAGCAAAGTGCATTGATAAGAAGTCACTTCTATTCAAAACGATACATTTATCCTTCTTTCTTAGTGAATTTTGACCTTAAAACCTACGGCAGATTTTGCATATGCATCAATTTTTCCATGGATCAATTGTTTCTCATCATGAGAGGCAAAGGAACAGTGAATGGCCATGCGACTTAATTTGATCAAATCGTCTGAACTTAAGCTAAACGTATCACTGGCGATATGAAGTTCCGTTGACAACGTCGTGCTGAACACTCCAAAATCGTCCGTCTGACAAAATATGAGAGAGAAAGAGAGAGAGAGAAAATGAATTATCAACAATTCGATCGAATTTAAGCGATTTTTTTTAAATTACATACACATATCACAACTGGGTGGCCATTCTTATAAAAACGCCGAAAATGATGATCAGAATAAGTTTTAACTACGCCGCACAGCAAATTGCTTGTCAAACAGCATTCTAAAGCGATATCATTGTTTTTAAGTAGCGTTTCCTCATTATCACCTATCAATGGATCAGAGGTAATGGATTTTATAAATTCAGAATTCAAATCAAGCAAGGCGAGTGTCAGAGGTTTACCTTTAATATATGTCCCATGTCCGAGTCTATTCATTCCAAATTTCAACATTGAACTAATTTCAACTTGATTTTCAATTTCGCCACAATGCAATGCCAATTTCAAACCGTTTTCTCTGGCTTTATTCAGAATCGGTTCAAAATCGGAAAATTCTTTACATGCCGGATCACCGCTCAAATCAACACCACAAACAATGTCCGGATATAATTTTGCGTATTTTAGTGCCAATGCACCATTTTCTTCGGCTGATTCGATGCTCTCTCGTCGATTTATCGACACAATTAATTTCACCATTATTGATGGCAATTCCGTTTTCATTTTTCTGAAAGAACACAAAAAAAAAATATAGTTGAACTCAATGTCAATTTTACATGGAAAATCTTCGGTAGCAGAAAGTGTGGTTACATAATTGTATCGATAACGGCCATTACGTATTGCTCCTTGGTCATTTTCGGCGTGGCACGTGGCGTTGATCGCAATTCCAAATACACCACATTATCATCATTGAAATCACGAATCACACATTCGGTACCTAGAGCAACTGCTTCTGGTGTATCGGTTAGTTCGTGTGCATATTTAAACTTTTCAAAACCACTAAAATTTGAATGCATTTTAAAATTAGTGATGCCAATATTCTCAATTATCATATAATTACTCACTCATGTAAATCCAATTTTGTGAACAAATTATATTTTTCCGTGTCTTTAGCGCTGGTACCGTGTTTTAGTTGGCTGAGTTTTTCAAGTGTTTCATTTGAGAAAGATCCATTGATATGTGCATGCAATTCCTTTTGAACAAAAAATAAAAAGAAATCAACGTAAAATATGTATAAACACTAAATTATCCAAAATAAAGAATTAATTTTTACCACTTTTGGCATTTGTTTAATGAAAACTTCTTTGTTTGGTTTCATTTTGCTGCTTTCATTAAGTTCAACAGATAATGTTTTTTTTTTTTTTGCAATGTGTGAATGTAAACGGATAAATATTGACAGTGCCGCTCTTTTTGACATTTCACAAATATGCGCTGTCAACACAAGCGATTTGACATTTGAGCATGTTGTTTTGCAAAACAAATCGTTTGTGTTTGCCAATCTACTAAAGTTTTTGTTTTTTTTTTTATAAAAAAATTCGGAAAAATTGCAAAAGTGGAAAAATGGATGCAACAAACGATGATTTGTCGATATCAAGTAATTCGTTGTCAATAAGTGATGAAACTGTGCCACGACCGCCGCCAAAAAAGAAACCAAAGCGAGGTGCTAAAGGAAAAACAACATATCCCGTCAAAATGGCACACGTTCCGAAACGAACATTTCAACACATTCATCGAATGATGAGAAAGAATAAACCCATCATCGAATTGAAAGCACAAACGCTCGAAAAGGCAAATTGCAATCGATTCATTTTGAATCAAATTGAAGGTGATAAAATGGAAACAGTGAGCCCCGAATCAACGACACGTCTGATGTGGGAAATGAGAGAGCGTCTACAGCGGAGAGAATACGGCGATTTGGCTCGTTTGATTTGTACATTCACCGAAATGCCGATGGGAAAAGCACGATGGTATCCAACATTGTTGAAGTATTGTTTGATTGCACTTTTGTATGATCCACTAGTGCAAGGTGCGAATGGAAAACTTTCAAATCTGATGGAGATGTTCCTGGACGGTGTCGTTGGATGTGTTAGTGATGCTGATAAGAGGGAATTTTTACAAGATATCAATCGTTTGCCAACCAATATTCATGTAGCCAAATACGATAATTTATGGACGGAATATCCAATGCCAAATCAACTGGATCAAAAAAGTGTCGATGAACTTTGTGAAATTCTCAACAAACGCATTGACATTAAAACAGAAACTGATGCTGATAGCGAAGAGTCGGACATCAATTCAGATTGGGAAACTTATGACGAAAATTCAAGCAGCGACGATTGCGAAACCACCACCGAACCGGAAAAAATCATCGATTTGGATAGTATTGTGAATCGAATACAAAGTAAATTTAACAAATGATTTTTGTATTGATACAATTGATTCATCTAAATAAAATTCATTTTATCTTTTTATTCGGAACTAAATATTCGACTATATCCAATTATGAATAAGTAATAGATTGTGATAACAATAAATCTCTGAAATAAAAATAAAATTAAGTAAAAGATTCCGTTCAATAAAAACACGTTTTTCTCTTTGAAAAATAATTATTTTTTTATTTAAAAAAAATATCCTCTTTATATCCCACATTTCTCTCTCAAAATATTGATACATTAATATGCACGGTCGCATAAGTTGAAGTTCATTGTTTTCAAACCAACACTGTACAAATTGAAATTTTTCATTGAAATCAAATTTAAATCTATATTACCATTGTTTATTTCCCATTTGGTTGCTAAAAATATTTCATCTTGTACATAAATATATAATTTTTTTGCTCCGAACAATTTTTTGCGTTCGTTATTCAATGTTAAAATCTTGAGTGATCCATAATAATTTGGAAATGCGACTTTAAATCGTGTTAACTGTTTTGAATGGCGAATAAATGGCACAATGCTTTCGGGTGTTGCACTCCATAGTTGAATGCGTTCCAATTCTTGAAGACTTTTAGCCAAAATTTCTATATCATCAACATCAACGGCACCATCATTAATAATCAACTCCTTCAAATTTTCCAATGATGGCAACGAATAACATCCACGGAATTTTCGAATCGTTAACTGCTCAAGACCGGGAAGTGTGATGAATTTGTCACAATAATATTGATTCGTTTTGTGTATATCAATGTGCAGTCGCTTATAAAATCCTTGTTCATGTAAAATCGGGAGATAGCGTAATATGCGTCGTGTAGTCACCAAAATTTTTAGCACATCCAAATTTATCGACGATCTTTCTAACAATTGGAAATGGCTAAGACAGCCTGAGGTGCATCCAAAT